CCAAGAGCTTTTTTCCAGGTACTGGAGAGCAGAGGAAATTCTTCAGGAAGCATGGGTCACACTGAGGCTTCAGAACTTGTTCAGTCCAATTTAGGTTTGAGGTAATGCCACAATCAGGTCATGAGCTGAAGGATGAAGGCACCAGGGTTGAGCTGAAGTTCAGGCAGCTCTGCAGCCTGATTACTGGCAAGTGAGTTGACTTAATTATTAAAAATATTTGGCATTTTGCTTAGCTAATAGTAGTTTGTTTTCTACATCTTAGAAAATAGCTCACAAGCTGAGGCACAGTGGGGCAAATGAAAGAGCCACAGGGCTACTGCCAGCCCTGCAGGGTGGGGAGAGAAGGGCAGGAGGACTCAGGGCAGGGACCTCAGGAAACATCTTCAACTTCCCAAGTGAAGCTTTTGCTCCTTTTTCACCCCTTGTTACACAGCCATACTTGACCTAATTTTCCAGTCTGAGCAGTGCAGAAGAGTGCATGATGTGCCATGACAGCTTGCACATGTGTTGTTATATTTAAAGATTTCTTCACTTTTTCCTTTCCCTGCTAGACTTGCTGCACCACAGGGCACTGCTCAGGGCAGCCTGAGCTCTGGCACACTTGGTGGAAACCGCTGAGCAGGGGAGGGAGTGAGGGAGGGAAAGATGCTCCAATTAAGCTGATTGGGGGGAAATCAGGGGAAAGGTAGAGTGTACATCTGTACATTGGTGCTCATTTATGCTTTGTTTTCAATGGGTTTGAAATAATTAAGAGAAAAAGCAGTACTCCCTACCCCTTCTTTGTGGGATGCGGTGACAAGAGCAGGGCTGCAGATGGGATTTTGCTCCTGGTGCAGAGCCATGGTGCTCTGTAACCCCCAGTTTGTGATGTCCTGAGCTGTTGGTCAAAGCCCCAACCTCACAGGGGCCTGGCAGGTTTACTTGGTGCTTGTAAAGTGCTTTAGGGAGACTAAATCCACTTGCATGAGCCTTTGCAAAGCAGCACTAATCAACACCTTGTTGCCTGTCAGTGGTTTGATCCTTTCATTACCCTACTCTTTTTAGAAGCCTGCAACATTCCCAAACATTCTTAATTCTCCCCAATTAATCTCTGCTATCCCACTCCATCAGTTACTACCTGCTTCCTCCTCCTCTGGAGAGCCAGGTAAATGTCCCCATTGTGCAGGCACTGCCGTCCACCTGTTCTCCAGCATCTTCTTCATCACTGTGCCATCACATCACTGTGCCATCACCATGCCAGCCAGCCCCTCAGAGGGGATTCATTGCTCCAAACCAGCATCACGGTCTGTGGGAGCACAGAGGTTCCTGGTGGGTTGTTCTTGGCCAAAGCAGGCTCTGTGGGATTTGGGCTGTCCTTGTGGGATGCTCGTTCTGTGGATCCCTACATGGAGCATCCTTTCACTCCTCCACCCAGTAACCTCATGGAGATGCCCACATGAACAGAGATGGATGTGTAGGTTGTGCAATAACATCTGAATATTTATTCTTTTTTATGGCAATAATGTCCAGGGTCCCTGGGTTTGAGGGCCCCTGTGATATAAGATGTTGCCCAAAAATAGGCCCTTTCCTAAAGAGTTAATAATTAAGTATTAATATTCCTGCAAAGTAAGAAGTACATAGTGTTTTATTGAAAGTTGAAGCTATTTAGAGCGATTTCAATGCCGGGCTGAGGTGTAACATGAGCTAGTGTCATACAGCTGGGAATGGGGTTTTGCAGCCCAAAAATCAACTGGACATGCATGTGAAAGCTCCCTCACTTCTGCTGGGCTATTCCTTTCTCTACGTCCATCTACAAGCCCCTCATGATCCAGGAGCTTTTTATTTTCCCTGAGCTCAGCTGTGTGCATTTGCTGTGCTGTTTGCCTTTTTTTTTTCTGCTGCTTCCCACATGCTCCAGGGCTCATTTTCACTTGGCTGTGATTTGACCTTCAGCTGCCCAAACCCCTTGGAGGGACAGGAGCCATTAATTCCCAGCAGAGCAGATCTGCTGGGCTGTGCTAAGGCCTGGACCACCAGATTTGCTCTGGATTCCCCCTTTCCCTGCCCAGTGCCTGTGTCTGTAACACACTCAGGTTGTCTCAGGCAGTAAGGGCTGTATCTGCCCGCAACCTTCCCACGGACCTGGGCTGCACTGGGAAGTAGGATGGTACAGAAACCAGCTCAGCAGCTCAGCAACCCTCCCATGCTCCAGCACAGGAAAGTCTGGGCTTGAAAGTAAACTTGTTCTTTGCTGCTGTAAAGCCAGAATGTTTAATGGAGTGTTTGGGGCTGTTAAAGCAAAGCTCCTGTTTGCCCATTTGTGCATTCACAGCAAGGCAACATCCCAGCATGTTGCTTTCTGCTTTTGCTGGAAGGTGCTACATGAACAAGAAACCTTCTCAGTTGCCACCACATCAGCAGGTAGACTTTTCCCAGCCTGTATGTCTAGGCTTACCTCCCAGCACTGGTAAGACCTGTCACACTGCTCCTATAAAGGGAAATAACCTTTTGGAGCAAACTGAGTGATAGCATCGCTCTTCTGCTTGTCCCGTCAGCCATGCTGCAGTTTGCAAGTAGCTGTTAAATACTAAAAGCTTCTCTGTATGACCATGCCTGTCCAGGATCACTTGCTCGAGGCCATGGCTAACTATGCACTGAATCCATCAAAACAGGATTGTTTTATCTCAGCAGAGAAGGGACACCCCAGCCTTTGGGCACAGGAGACTGCAGCAAACAACAACAACAAAAAAACAATTTGTGTGTAAAAGGAAAAGTCTGTTTCAACTGGCTTGCTGCAAGGTGGGTCACACTGGTGTGACCAGGTAACCTAAACACTCCAGCAGCTACCAGGGGCCTGGGGGTGCTGTGGGGACACGGGCACGGCGGGTGGAGCGGTGCCCTCCTGATTGTCAGAGCTCTCCAGCCCTTTTGAAAAGTGTAGCTTGCCAGCAGCAGAACTTGTTGACGTGTTTTGATGTAAGTATAACACTGTATTGTAGTTACGTGGTATATGCTGATATGTTAATAGTGTATACTGACTAGTTAGGGTTTGCTAATGTACTACATTTCAATAAAAAGCAATTTAAAAAATATGGAGTTTGTGAGTTTGGTGTCTTTGAAAACAGGAGGATGAGCGCATTGCCCAGTGACTCCAATCCCTCCAGTATTTCTTATATATCTATCTTAGAGGACAGTGTGGAACAACATTGTTAAAAGATCCATTTTCAGAGAGGATTTTTCCCACTCTGCTGTAAATATTTTTTAATTTGCTGTACTAGTCCCTAGAAATCTCAGGCCACTAAAGGCCACATGGTTCAAAGTGACTTATGAATATACTGGAGCCACTAATCCACCTTCCCACAGCTTTTGCTGCCTGAATGATGGCACATAGTGAGCAGGATCAGCAATAGTAACACAGAGAAGGATCCTTTGGCACCTTCTCCCAGTGCTCAAGCCCTCCCCAAAGCACACCCAGCCTTCAGAAATGACCATGCTGCTCCCAAACACGGCCATGCTATTGAGGTGAAGGCACAGCCCTGAAAGCTGAGCCAGCTAATAAATATTTATATTACAGTAGTGTACAAAGGCTCCAGCTGGGATTAGGGCACTGCACTAACACAGGGGACAGATCATCCCAGGGTTAAAGGATTTATAGCCTAAAAAACCCACAGCATTCCCGCCTCCCTGGGAGCTGGGCAGTAAGCACAGAGATGGCAGATGTCAACGTTTTCTGCTGTTGTAACACTTTCAGAGTTTGCCGGGAGGCTCTCTAATGGTTTTGAAACAAGACTAGCGGTTCACTACCTTACTGGGAAGCTGCTCTGCAGCCAAGAGATGGGAAGGAACTGCAACTCCCCCTCTGCTGTTTGCTGCAAAGATTGTCCTTGGACTTGATCACAAGCTTTGTGTGGGCTCCAGACCTGCAAAGCAAGGACCAAAACGAACTGGGTGCCAGGTGGGGGATGCTGGGACCCCCCCACCCTGGTGGGGCACAGGCTGACTCACGAGGCTGAGATGCTCGAGGTACCTGTGGTTCACAGCAAAAAGGGTAAATGAGTTCCTGCCTCCCCAGAGGGCAGGTGGAAGCATCGCCAGCGTGGGCAGGAGAGTTGAACATGTCCCCAGTGTGTGGATCCAGGGACCTATTGAGAACTGTGAAGTCTGGTGCCCTCAACATAAGGACATGGAACTTAGAGGAGGCCACGAAGTTAGTGACTAAAGGACCTCCCCTACAAAGACAGGCTGAGAAAGTTGGGGCTGTTCAGCCTGGAGAAGAGAAAGTTGTGTGGAGACCTCAGAGCAACCATCCAATATCCAGGGAAGTCGGAGAGGGACTCTTCATCAGGAACTGTGTGATAGGATAATGAGTAACAGGTGCAAATTGAAACAAGGGAAATTTAGGTTAGATATTAGGAAGAAATTCTTTATTGTGAGGGTGGTGAGGCGCTGGCACAAGTTGCCCAGGGAGGTTGTGGATGTCCCAACCCTGGCAGCGTCCAAGGCCACTTCAGATCAGGACTTGCACAACCTGGTCTAGTGGGAGGTGTCCCTGCCCATGGCACGGGAGGACTGGGACTAGATGATCTTTAAGGTCCCTTCCAACCCTTAACATTCAACCATTCTATGACTGCAGCAGTCATAGAATGGGGTGGGGACAGCAGTTTGGAGGAGGCTGTAGCGTGTAGAGTGGGAGGCACATTTAAATAACCTGCCTTAACTAATGGCGGCTTCAGTGGGGCCCGCAGGAAGATTTTTCATTTGCGTGACCATGTTTTGCTACATCAGCCCCTTATTCTCAGCAAGTTCAAGCTTCCCTGGCAAAATCATTTTCAGCGCAGAGGAGAGGACCGACAGCCCGAGGGCGGCACGGGGAGGTGGCATTGAGGGCTCTCCGGACGCGGGGCTCGAACCCGCGACCCTCCGAGGCGGCGGTGAGGGGGCCGGGCCGCCAGGGGGCGCGGTGCCGGCGGGCGCCGTGCGGGCCCCGTGACCCGGCCCGGCCGCTCCCCCCGCGCCGCCGCCGCCGCTCCCGCCCCGGCCGGGCCGGCCCCGCTCGGCTCCGGGCGCCCCGCTCTGCCCCGCGATGTGGCTGGGGCCCGAGGAGGTGTTGCTGGCCGGCGCGCTGTGGGTCACCGAGCGCGCCAACCCCTTCTTCCTGCTCCAGCGCCGGCGGGGACACGGCAAAGGGGGCGGCCTCACGGGTGAGGCGCGGCGGGGACGCTGCGGGCCGGCCCGGGGTGCGGGAGCGCGGGGAGGGCGCGGGGGGGGCCCGGCGGGGCTGGGCCGGGGCTGTCAGCGCTCAGGTGCTGCTGCCGGGGAGCGCAAATAACTAACGGGGCGCTTCCCTTGTGGAAAATGGCTCCTCACCCTTCTCGCGTTACCTTGGATTATTGAGGTGGTTTATTTTGTGTGTGTGTGTGTTCTGTGTGCTTTTTCAAGATTCGGAGGACGGCAGTAAGGCGTGGTTTGTGATTAGTAGCGGTGTGGAATCTGTGCTGTGCATGGGCCGGGGGTGAAGCTGGGTGGGTGCAGCCCCGTGGGAAGTATCCCGTGTGTGTTGGGGGGACAGCCCGTGTTTGTGACAGATGTTAAAATAACGTGGATGCCACCAAGGTGCAATATTAGCAGCAACAAAAGATCCCCTCACCTTTAAAACACCCCGTTTGTGTGCAAAATGCTTGCACGGTTATGTGAATAACAAAAGTGTGCGTTTTACACTTTTGAATTACAGCCAGCGCCTTGTATTAGCCCAGTTAACCAAACATACAAACTAAGAAATGAGGCAGCTGATAAACATGCTCAGCATATTTTACCTTTTCATAGTGTTCAAAATTATTTTTAACTGCTCTGTTTGATGTAACATAACTTATCTGTGCAGTGTTGCATGTAGGCCTATACGTCAATTCTACAATTTCCCAGGGTTTTACAAGAAGTGTTGTCCAGTGCTATTCTGGAGACATCTAAACTGATGTTTAAATGAATGGTTGAAGCTTTGAGCCAGTTTACTTCTTGAGCTGGTTTAGCTCAGTGAGTCTCTCCAGAGCTGCAGTGGGTTAAAAGCCATGTGTGCTCCTTGAGGAACTGTACAGTGACATCTCAGAGTTAGAGTGGGATATTCAGCCAAACTGGAAACGTGTTGAAGTTGCTGTCAGACTCATGTTCTTAAATGTTTTGTTACCAGTCTGTGTGTCAATGTTTGACATGGTCACTACAGTCACAGGAAGGATTCAGAATGACCTTTTAATCCATATCCTGCCTAAAACTGTACACAAGAAACCCAGAGCCCGAGCTGAGATCCTGCTGTGCTGGATATATACGTGTTTGTTTTAGGGATTGCCAGATGAGCTTCCTGTGGATGGTGTTTCTCTTGACATGCAATCAGTGGTATATTCCTAATCTATTAATTGCATCACAGATAGCTAAAGGAGATAAGGGGAAGAAGTGGCATGTTTCATGATAAGGAATGAGATATGGCTGAGTACAGTTTGCTCAGGCTTAGCCAAACCATGGGAGCTGGGAATTGAGACTGGACCTCCCAGATGCTGAGCCATGGGGCCAACCATCCTCCCTCTCCAAGTTCTGATGTTAGAAAACTTTTAATCATGAGGGTGTTGCAAAAATAATTTGCATTTAAGATGCTTGTAGTACATTATCTAGAATAACAAAGGAAAGCATCATCTTAGATATTTTATTTATCTAGTAAATAGACTTAATTGAAATAAATTGATTTGCTCTAGAAAGTCTGGAGACTTGTCAGCATTTACTCTGGAAGTGCCTTCTTTTTTATTGAACATTATATAAAAATAATTTAACTTCTGTATTACCAAATTTTGAGTCACTGACATCTTTGTTTAATTAAAGTACTTCTAGAAACATCCCTGAAATCTGTGAGCACCAGTTTTTCTAGATCTACTTGATTCTGTTTTGGATGAGTTATCTTACCTGCTGTTGGCATAGATGGTGCTGAAAGATACAGCATTGAAAACTCTAATGTCTTTTAGTTTGGTAGGTTTAAAAATCACTATTCTTAACAGAAACCCCACAGAGGAAAATACATTTCACTTTCATTAGAAAATTCTCCTAGGAAGGCAGAGAATTATAATGAGGTTTAGTAGGCATTTAATTGCCATCTAAACTTTTTCCATTACCAGGGGGACAGGCTGCAGTTGGTTTATAGGTATTTTACCTGCAGTGACAGGATGTGTGTCTTCGTTTGCTCGACCAAGCTCTTCCATCACAGCTGCAGACTGTGAGCATCAGCGTTTTTCTGTAGTCATGATACTATATTTTTACTTAACCCAGTTCTTCGTTTTGGTATTGGATTGCTTTAATTTCTCTCTCTTTGCATCCTAGGTCTCCTTGTAGGAACACTAGACGTGGTTTTGGATTCCAGTGCCAGAGTTGCCCCGTACCGTATCCTGCACCAGACTCAGGACTCTCAAGTGTACTGGGCAGTGGCCTGTGGTATGTGCTGACGTGACTTGTTGGGGACTGGATTTGGGTTATTCCATTGCCTTTTTGGTTCAGATGATCAGTTATGCCACATAAGAATATCCTGTGACTGCTCAGGAAACTTTTCTAGAGTTTCTGATGGGGTAGTGGAAAATGCCGGAAATGACAGAACTTCTCAGTGATGTTTAAACGGTAGTTGAGGAACTGAAGGCTCTGCAAAAGGTTCTGTTGCTGCAGATGTTAGGAGTTTTCTTTTTCCCAGGAGGTACCTGTTTGCAGTGTCATAGTGAGATTGTTCAGAGGATAAAGCCAAGATTGCTGTGGGATGGTGAATGTTGGACCAAACTTGCTTACCAGGAGCATGGCACAAGATGGAAACATGTAATGTTGTTCAAGGTGCCAGAGACTCTTTGGGGAATCTCTTTACTGTCTTAATCCAATTTTTTTCTGTATTTCTGGCCTGTTAAATATCTTAGAATAATATTTTTTTTTAGCACCAAGGATACTTGGCCTCTTTTACTTGAGAAATGCAACTGCTGTATTGGAATATAATGGTGCAACCATCCGATATCTGGTGGTGAACTTTGGTTAATGTTTTAGGTCTTGATGCTTGCTAAAGAGAAAATATCTTCAGACGTGTTTGTTAGACCAACTTTGTTTATAATAAGAATCTTCACTTCTCACTTTGTGGTTGAGGCGTAAAATCTGATCATGAAAGAATCATTTGCTAAGCCCACAGATGTTCCTGTTCCCACCTTCTCCCAAGGCAACCAACACAATATTGTCCCTTGCAGAGCCACTTCAGTTTTGCAGATGAGGTGTTTAGAAGTTGCTGTGTTTCACAGAAATTCAGTTTCCCTTTTGAGGAGGGTGGAGGCAGGGAGTAAGAAAGACAGAAAGCAAAATGGCAGGTCAGAAACTGCATAGGAAAAAGCAGAATATTTAGTGGCCACACGCGGTGCAGATCTGTCATTTTGTAGTATCTCAGTGACTGTGTTATTTTTGTACAATTTCAGGAGTGTTTTAGTTGATACCTTCTATATCTCAGTTTCTTTTAAACTGAGATATAGTCTAGCCTGGGAAAGTGAGGTGGGCTGAGTAACACCCAAATGGAGTTCAATAAATTATTCTACTGGAATAAATACGTTGTCTTCAGCCAAAGTATTTTTTAATCATATCTGGTTCTCATTTTGCTGTGGAAGTAAGAGTACTGGCATTCACTTAGGGTTATAAATGTATATGGCTCTCTAGTTGAAAAATGCAGATATTTTATTTGCAATTTATTGTGTGTACATGCTAGTGGGCAGCAATATGGTCACACATGCAGTTTCAGGCTTTCAGCACTGTGTTCTTATAGCCATCTTTGTAGGAATTGCAGACTTTTACTCCTTCATGCATGTCATTCTAATGTCGTTCTTATAAAGATGTCAGTTATTGAGGCCAGGCTTATTTTAGCAATTTCTCTGCTGTCACTTGGTGGGAGATGCAGCTCATGGAACAAAACATGATGCAGACTGCATTGCCCTGCTGTTGTTGCTGAACCTGTGGGGTTTTTCCACAAAGGATTCTATGATTGTTAATTCTGTGCCCTTAAAATAAACCATTTTGTATTACTCAAAATAATTTATGCTCTAGAAACGTTGTCAGATGCTGGGATAGATGTCAAGTAAACTTATACACAGAGGCAGCAGAACAAACATTTGTTGTCTAATCCATTGGGCTGTACACACAAACCCAAATTCATAACCCTCTGCAGGGAGGTTCTATGCCAACAATATAGTGATAGCTGTCAATAGAGGGGAAGAAACCTTTTAGTAAACAGAAATCTTTGAAATTATTAATGGCAACCAACTAAGGCAACTTTCTGTAGGAAAGTTCTTTAATTTTGTTACAGATTGAAGCTTATCCTTTGTGAAATGTTGTGGACTGCATGGTTAAGGACAGCTAACTATTTGATATAAAGTTTGCTGAGAAGTTGTTTGTATTTTTTTAAGAAAGCAGAGAACTTTCTGACGTAAATATTTTGGTTGCTCTTTGGTTTGGAATTGTATGGTCCCTGCTGACCATTGCCCCTGGGAAATGGAAGCTCTTTTAGGTGTAAAAAGTTCAGTTGTTCTCAAATTTCAAGGTTCTTCTGGTAGTTCGTTATTTTTGTTCCAGAATACCAGGAATAAAAGAGTACTTCTTGACTGGAACATAAGAATGCTTTTTGTCTGGGGAAAAAAGCTGTGTTTGGTGTGCACTGGCAAATAGGATGATCTGTTGGTCGTGTGCTCATTATCCTTGGTGGCAGTGGAGACATTTTATTAGAAGCATGATGTTGGTGTACATAAAATATCCCTGACATGTACACAGTTGGTGTGTTTGATTTATCCTGATCACTGTTCAGTAATTATTAGTTTCCTGCTGTGAACTTGGAGAAAAAAAGACTTTGTTCTCGTTTTTTTTCCTTGCTCTTCTCATCATCTTTCTCCCCTTAACTAGGCTCATCTCGTAAAGAGATCACAAAGCATTGGGAGTGGCTGGAGAATAACTTACTTCAGACTCTGTCCATCTTTGACAATGAAGAAGATATCACCACCTTTGTCAAGGGCAAGATACATGTAAGTGACGTTTCCCTGAAGGAATTCCAGATCCTGAGAAAGAATGGGGAGATGGTTTTGAGGATTTTTTTATCCTTTTCAGTCATACATAGGTATGAAATTGTCATGGAACACATTGCCAGCATCAGGTCACAGTCAGAACTGGACAAATGTGTTTGGGGGAGAAAGGTGGGAGCAGCAGATCTCAAGGAACAGCCTGTTTATGATGCTCCTACTAATTACCTCTTTAAAATCTTGCTGATTATACCTTTGAATGCAGGGAGAATGTTTAACAAGGGTTCACCTAGCAACAAATGCAGGAGAGAGAATTCTAGTTTGCAAGCAAAGTACTTGCCCTGCCACACTGGTCTGAAAGGCATCTGGGTGAAGGAACTGCACCCCAACTTCCACTGTCTTTCGAGTCAGACAGGTGACTGCTTGTTGTGCAGTTAACACACTTCACATTCCCAGCCCACAAATCCCCCAGTGTACAAGCTTATAAATACAGTTCTTTATTGAACAGCAGAAATTTGAGTCATTTTCAGCTCTCCTGTCAGATTCTTTGTGTTTTCTATGCATGAGAGAGGTTGTGATCATTTGTTTTTCCTTCTGGCCAGTCAGGATCTGACAGATTGCAGAGTTCTGCCCTTCCTGGCAGATGATCTTCTTCCCGTTGAAGAAGCACGTATGCAAGGGAAAAGAGACTTCAGTTCTCCTGCAGGCTGTTCCAGGTGTTCCCAGGCCAGCCATGAGGAGCTCAGTCAAACGTTAAACATCAGTGCTTGTGGCATGTGCTCAGGAGCAGATCCAGATCCCAGACTCCCACATGATCTGACTGCCCTCTCTGCATGCCTTTGCTGTTTCTCTGACGTGACAGGACCGAAACTGCCGTGTTACTTCTTTGCTGCTGTGACCCTTTGCTGTACGTTATGTCTGTCAGCAGGCAGGTTCCCTTCCATTTCTTCCCTCTCTCCTTCCATGTCCCTTCAGGGCATTATTGCTGAAGAGAACAAGAATGAGCAGCCCCAGAGCGAGGAGGATCCAGGTAAATTCAAAGAGGCCGAACTGAAGATGCGGAAGCAGTTTGGGATGCCCGAGGTGGAGAAGTTGGTCAATTACTATTCCTGCAGCTACTGGAAGGGACGTGTACCCAGGCAGGGTTGGCTGTACCTCACTGTCAATCACCTCTGTTTCTACTCTTTCCTGCTGGGCAAAGAAGGTGAGTTATGAGCCTGCAAGTTGTTTTTCTGTCATTTCCTGTGATCTCTTTGATGCAGTTGATGTTTTGTGTGAACTCCTTTTTAGGCTGACAGTTTTTTTCCCTTTTAGGAATCCTTGAGCTCTAGCCCAGCCCATAGATTGCTCTCACAGGCACTTCAGTGCTGTTTATACTGAATGCTTGAGTCATTTTTCAAAATGTTTCTCAAGTTGTGCTGAAGTTTTACTCAAATTGGATTACTTTTTACAAGTAATCTTTTACTTTTAAAAGTCTGACTTCCTCAGACTGGGTTAGAGAAGCAAGGAGTATTTTTACCTTGGTGAGTTTTATCTGGTACAACTGCCAGGACCCAGTATTTACAAAGCATGAGCTCTGAGTCCAGAGCTGGTTTGCTGGAAAGAATTAATGAAAACTTGAGTAATTGTAGTTGAAAGCATTTACTGGATGAGAGATAGTCCTTTTGGAACTGCATTATTTCTAGTCTAGTTAATCCCAAAGATTATTTCCAAGTATTTCTGGAGAACCCAGCAAAAGTATGAGGGGGAAAAATGTTGCTACACTGAGAGCTTGGTAGCTGCTTGACCTTCATTTCTGATTAATTGCTGTTTTGCCTCAAATTGTAATAACCGCGTTTTTTAATTTTTTTTCCCAGTTACTCTGGTGATCCAGTGGGTGGATGTAACCCAGCTAGAAAAAAATGCTACACTGCTGTTCCCTGAGTGCATTAAAGTAAACACAAGGGACAGTGAACTCTATTTTTCCATGTTCCTCAACATCAACGAGACATTCAAGCTGATGGAGCAGTTGGCCAACATTGCCATGCGGCAGCTGCTGGATAACGAGAGCTTCCTACAGGACAAGTCTCTCCCGAAGCCCAGGAAGCCTCTTAAGAACATCTCTGCATTAAAAAGGTATATGTTTCCAGCAGTGAGAAAAGAAGATAGATAATAGAGGATTGTAATAATAAGTCTGCATTACTTTGTAGCTCCCAGGTGCCACTGGGGTTTTCTCGCTCTAGGGGCTGCATCACTTATTTCAGCCATTAGCCCTCTGCCTACTGTGTTTTGTTCCCATCCCAAATGGGAGCTGAATTCACACACACCCTCCTGACTTTCTCATGCCTGACTAGGCACTGTTAGAAGGATTTTTCAACTAGAAACTGCCGAAAATCCTATGTAAAAAAAGTGAAAGAAGAAAACTACACCAGCCCCTTTGTCTGAAGTTGAAGGTTTATAAAAACTAGCATAGATTTCTATTGTAAAAAATCCTCCCACTGGGGGCTGTTCTCTGTAGTGTAGCAGAGAAGTTTTGCATTTAAGTTTTGCAGATGCACTTGCATATTTTATCTTGCATTGCAGGACATACGTTGTCAGTGAGGCATGTCCGAAAAAACAGATAAGGGGTGGCATCTCAATTAGAGAAGGGAATATAAGAATACACACTACAGTCTGAAGGTTGTGATTGGAACTTAGCATTAGTGTTTGAGTGGGTTTTTCAAGTAAGGAAAAAAACCTGTGGGTACTACCCTTTACTTTTCCCCAGAGACCTGGATGCTCGAGCCAAAAATGAGTGCTACCGTGCCACTTTCCGGTTGCCCAAGGATGAATGCCTGGATGGACATACAGACTGTACCTTGTGGACACCATTCAACAAGACACACATTCCTGGCCAGATGTTTGTTTCCAACAATTACATCTGTTTTGCCAGCAGGGCAGAGGAGGCCTGTCATCTCATCATTCCTCTCAGGGAGGTGGGGATTTCTTAGCTATATATTAAGACTGCAGGCCTTTCTTGTCTTTTTTGTGCTTCTGTCTCTTGTGCTGTGCTTTTTAGATAATGGAGAACGTGCTAGATCCAAATGGTCCTTGTCTTTGTGTTCTAGGTGACAATAGTTGAGAAAGCAGATAGTTCCAGCGTCTTGCCCAGCCCTCTGTCCATCAGCACTAAAAGTAAAATGACCTTCTTCTTTGCCAATCTGAAAGATCGAGATTTCTTGGTGCAGAGAATCTCTGACTTCCTGCAGAGAACACCGTCCAAGAAACCATGTGGCACCGACAGGGAGTGGAAGTGGAATTTGGCTGATGCCAGTTGCGAGGTACTGAGGAAATAGCTGGGAGGAACTTTTCAGAGCAATGCTCCTTACAGTGTGTTAGCAGTGCTTGTTACCAGCCAGTGCTGTCTCTGTTGGCCATTAGCAGAGGAGGAGGCAGCCTGAGCTCAGACACTTTCTGTTCTGTTGTTCAGGAGGTTCCAGAGCTGCCTTCCAGCAGCCCACTGGCCATCAGCCCCATGTCTGCTCTCAGCCATCGACCCGTCAACTTCTGTGCTGGGGAAGTGCCAACAGCCTCACAGGGACTGCTCAAACTCTTCAGAAGGAACTCTGAGGAGCTCTCTGGACCGAAAGGGGTAAGTAATATTTTAATGTAAAACAATTAACTTTAAAAAGTTTGCAATAGGTTGCAGATTTCCTTGTCTTCTCTAAGAGTGAAAATGCATTTTATCCCAGGTCAGTCCTTCTATGTCTGTCACAGGGATAGTGCTGCATAGATGGAACCTAACCCTCAGCTTACTTTGTCAGTACTGACACACCTGAGATAGTTGACTAGAGGCTGAGAAACTAGTATTACCAGTGTTATGGGATGTGAATTTGTGGCTGTGAGGAACTACTTTTCTTCGGATCAAGAGAGCAGAGAACTGATATCTCTGCTTGTTAGTTAATCATCATAGTCCATGGTTCTGCTTGCATTTATGTGGAGATTTGCAAGGTGTAGTGCCATTGCACAGCCCATGTTAGTGTTGTAAAGACTTGACTTTAAGCAAGGTCAGAAATGATTCAGAACAGGGGAAATTAGCATATACACCCTTCAGCAAAAAAGAGAAGATTTAAATGTCACAAGGCATTTCTCATGGGAAGTGCAGATCTGAGTATATGCAGAAATCACCTGTCCTACAAACATAAAAATGCATTAATCTCCTAAAATAGCCATATTTGTTCCTATGAAGGCAAAGGAGAAGATGAAGGAAGAGTCTTGGAACATTCATTTCTTTGAATATGGGCGAGGGATGTGTATGTACCGCACTGCCAAGACGAGGGAGCTGGTGCAAAAAGGAATCCCAGAGAATCTTCGTGGAGAGCTGTGGCTCCTTTTCTCAGGTAGGATGTTCTGCTGGATATTTTGACAGCTAGCAAGAGTAAGCTTTCTGCTCATCTCAAGGGAAAAGGTATGAATCTTAGCTCATTTCAGAAGAAATTAATGACAGGTTGACTCCACCTGAATGATACTTCATGGTGGGTTTTTTGCCAAAAATGTGGTGATCACAGTCATGAAATAACTTTCTTTATGAGCCTAGTAGCCGCTTGGCCTCCTTTGTGTTTTAGTGTTGGGACCTAGGCTCTAACAGGGTGATTTAATAATGAGTTTGTTCCCATACTTTCACATCTGTTTGTAGTTGATGAGTTCATGCGGTGCTTCTTGGCTCCCTCATCTCTGAAGCTGTGGGCATAAAATCTGTATTCCAAAGCTCCAGAGGTAAAGTGATATTTGCCATTTCAGGGGCTTGGAACGAGATGGTGACTCATCCTGGTTACTATGCAGATCTTGTGGAAAAGTCAATGGGAAAGTACAATCTCGCTACAGAGGAAATTGAGCGAGATCTGCACCGCTCTATGCCAGAACATCCTGCCTTCCAAAATGAGTTGGGAATTGCTGCCCTCCGGAGAGTCTTAACAGCTTATGCATTCAGAAATCCAACAATTGGGTACTGTCAGGTAAGAAAGAAGTCTTAAACTTGTTAGTCTTACGCAGTGACCGTGACTGACCTGGTCATTTTCTGCAGTTTTTTGTTCAGTTTCAGTCTTTCCTTCATGCTGTCCATGTGGTGGTGGGACAGTAGGAAAGAAGTCCTTATGCTGCAATATCTCTTAAATACCTTTTGAATACAACGTTTAAATAGACTTTTCATATGGTTGTTAGATGTAATGTCAGAGTCTTTACTAGTTTTCCTGCCAGAGCTTTCTACAGTTCAGCAAAAACATCTGGTTTCATTAAAAAGAGCAATTAAATCAAATAAGTGATGTTGCACATGGATGGTATATTGAAAATGAAGCCAGTTGCTGGTTTATGAAACAACTTGGTGGAAATTCAGGTTCATTTTGTGTATTGCTGCAGTATTAGAGGTTCTCATTATGTTCTGTTATGACCAAATTGTTACCAAGCTTTTTGTGAAAACTCTGAAAATTATTCTTAGTCACATTGTTTTCTGAAAGTGCTTGACAAAAGGTCACCATATTATTTGCTGCCTCACAAAAAGAGGAACTGAAAACAGGAAGGTACATTGGTTTAAGGGCATCCATTGACTCAGATACCAGTAAGAGCTGGAAAGGGATGTGACTCTTAGTAACAGCTTTCTGTATTCATGGTTTTAAAGTTAGATGATGATGAATGGCAGAGGTTTCATGAAGACTTTCTTCTTTTTCTCCTGTACCTGTGTATTTGGCTGTGCTGGCTCACAGGCCATGAACATTGTTACATCGGTGCTGTTGCTCTACTGCAACGAGGAGGAGGCTTTCTGGCTCCTGGTGGCTTTGTGTGAGCGGATGTTGCCAGATTACTACAACACAAGAGTGGTGGGTGAGTCTTTGTCAAATTCGTGCTGGAGCCTGGATTTTCGGCTGCAGTTGCACCAGCATCTCCCAGAAGCATTTCGTTGTTCAGACTTAATTAAATGTGAAGCATTTTAAAGATGAGGAAGCACAACCCTGTTCCATTTGAAGTCGCAGGTGTGTGATGGAGACGTAGGAAGAGACACTACAGGCTACCAAGGTAGTAGTACTACCTTGTAGTAACAAGGAAGATGAAGTAACTAAAACTTGGTAGCAGGAGGGACCATTTGTAGTAAGGAGGCTTATCTAGAATAAAATTATTGAGTTTTGGTCTTACCCATCTGAATGATGTATTAAATTTTTGAAATAGGCTCCTAGGAAAGGTTAGTGAAAGCACTGTTTCATGGGCTTTTGAAGTGGGTCTGTATAAAAGAGTATAGTTTAGTGTAAATACCATAATATCAGTAATCCTCCACCTCTCCATTCAGTGAAAATGCATCAATCAATGAGAGGTTCTGTGTCTGCATGCTCTGCAATGTAGGAAGTCTTTACCTAAATATGTTGTTTTTATTGCAAACGGGGAAGAAGATTAAATTAATGTCTTAATTTTAGTTCTGATTCTCAGAGACTTACATGAAACTAAGTGAACTCACACTGTTTTGGGTGTAGTACCATGATACCACCAGTTTTAGTTCTACTGTTGTTTCTTTTGTCCATTTCAGGTGCATTGGTGGACCAAGGGATCTTTGAAGAACTCACACGAGAGTATCTTCCACAGCTGTCAGAAAAGATGCAGGACCTGGGAGTGATTTCCACCATATCCCTTTCCTGGTTTCTCACTCTCTTCCTCAGTGTCATGCCCTTCGAGAGTGCCGTGGTCATTGTCGACTGTTTTTTCTATGAGGGAATCAAGTTTATCCTGCAGGTGTCACTGGCCATACTCGATGCCAACATGGAGAAGTTGTTAAAGTGCTGTGATGAAGGTGAAGCCATGACTATTTTGGGCAGGTACCATTCATTGTTCTTATTTATAACTGAATAGTGATAGTGCCCTTTTAGTCATCCTCTTTTTCTGCCTAATTCCATTACACAGCAGGTCACAGATAACACTCTAAGATGAAACTTGAGCTCCAGAGAGGTTTGCTGTTGCTTTCTACAACAGCTGAAATTAATTGTTAGCTCAACTATGGAGTAATCCCGTGTTTCTGGAATTGTTTGCTTTGCAGCATAATACATTCCTGTATTTCAGTTTGAATTTGAACTCTCAAAGGTTGTTTATTCAAAATTCACATAATAATTCTACTCTACCATTAGGAACAGACCCTGTCAGGAATTGCCTTCTAGAAAAATAAAACTTTATCAAGTGATATCTCCCAAGTCTCGTAAATGTAAGATTTTCTTGTTTGAAATGGGAATCTTTTTTATGTGCAGCAAGGTACGCAGCTTATGACTAGAAGCCCACTTTCGAAAGAGTAGATACCCCAAAAATAAGGTGAAAATCAACTTTACTTCAGACACTAATCTCAAGAGTCTTGCATCTGTTCTCTTTTTTCCCCACAGATACTTGGACAATGTAGTTAACAGGCAGAGCGTCTCTCCCCCTATTCCCCACTTGCACGCCTTATTGACAAGTGGAGATGACCCACCACTGGAAATCGACATCTTTGAACTCATCAAAACCTCCTATGAGGTGAGGTTCTGGCTTAGTTTTTGCCCAAGAGATTTTTCTCTCCTAACATCCCATTTTGTACTTTGTGCAGCCAGAATTTGAACAGTGTTCATAGCTTGAGGTGCTTCAGGATTTGCAGGTTGAAGCCATTATTCCACTTGGCTTGATGTGAGTAGAATCTGACACTGTTGACTGTTGTGGATTACAAAGTCTCACCAACACCAGTGGGGACTAAAACGAAGACTGCAAATAAGTAAAAAGTTACAGACTAGAGTTTTCTTTCTGCTTTGCCTAAAAAGTCTCCATTCTTACTTGTATTTGAGGATTGCCAGTGCTAGGGAGTCAAGGAGGAAAATTCAGGGTAAAAATTGTAAGGTAAACTGCAGAAACATTGGAAGTATTTCAGTTCACATGCATAGGAATCCTCAGCTGTGACCTATGTTGTAGTAATAGGAAGGTGATCCCAGAATGGTGCCAGTGCTGTTGAAATACCTCTGCAGTGGTGGAGGTGGACCTCATTATTCATACTGAAAACAAACTCATAAGAAATTTGATTCTGAATGATGGAAAAAAGACCGTGAGAGAACTGATGTTTGACATTCTCTGCTATGCTTTGTAAAGTGTGGGATCATTTCCCTTTTTATCTCCTGTTTTTCATCCTGTCCCCTTCCAGCTGTTTACAGGCAGGCAGCTGTCATTATACTGCATATTTTGTTTGCTTCTTCAAGTCTGCCATCTATGTTTGTTCCTGGTTTCTTTTTATCATAGAGTGTCACCAAATTCATATTAAATGTCTGACCTAGTCATTAGAAAAACCTCTGGACTTAGGTGTTTCTAGCTGAATCCCATAGGGGTCCTAGAGGAAAAAAAACAGGGCTGGAATGAATGACAGTCTGTCTACTCTCTTGTCTCTGCCACAGTACAGGACCTGTATTTCTGTCAGTCCTGACAGATCCTTTTTCAGCTGTTCTGTAGAAACCTCTGATGTTGGATTTCTCATGAATTCTGAATTACTTTTCTTGCAGGACAGGGGGGAATAGGGAATAGAGCTCAAATTTTTTCTAATCTTGCTGCTGGTAAAAGGCTTCTGGTGGGTTGAGATCATCTCTGAGGGGACAGTACACTTGTTAAAGAACATGTAACTGAAGATGGGTTGTTTTTTCTTTAGAAGATGAAGTTGACCTGGTCTGCTTCCTTTTCTTGTAGAAATATAGCAATCTGAAGGCAGATGACATTGAACAAATGCGTTTTAAACAAAGGCTGAAGGTGATCCAGTCTCTGGAGGATACAGCCAAGAAGAGTGTGGTATGTGACTCCCAGATTGAATGAGCTACCAAATGGCACAGTCATGAGATGTGTTTTGCTGTGAGCATCAAGAAACTTTGCGCTGTAGCTGTGGCATGGAGGAAGATAACAAACACTTGTAGGCCTTGTTGTAGTTTCCATTGCCTAGTGCTGTCTGTTTTACTGCTTGCCTGGAATCTTTGAGAAAAAGCTTGCTACAGGTAATTATTTTACTGCCATTTAGAGCATGCAGATGCATTACAGAACTTTACAGAAGGGTTCATGGCCAAAGGGCAGTGTCCGTATCTGTTGCCATTATCTCCCATGTCCTACTGTTTATTTCACTGTTGTTTTTCAATGCATCTGAGTCAAACCTCTGAAGATAAAAAAAGGAGGAAGGGGCAACACAGTCTGCTCAGTCAGGTCTGCACAAAGAGGAAATAAGCACAGTAATATTTTTTCTAACTACTTGAAACATCAGCAGTTTCTTCTTAATTGCAGACTGTCTTCCTGATCTGTGTCAAGGGATATTAGAATGGTTATGTTTTCCTTCCCATCCTGTGTCATATTTCCTTGCACTTGATTTCTTCTCTTCTATGTTATTCAGATTTTTCAGTGAGTTGTATTTAATTTTTCTACCCTCAAAATAAATTGTTTGCTCTATTTTATCCCTGACCACAGGTCCGAGCTGTGTCTGGTGACATCAGTTTCTCTATTGAAGAACTGGAAGAGCTGTACGTAGTGTTCAAGGTAAGAAGCAAGAGTGAGGAAGAATGTTCTGACACAGAGAATACAAATAGCAAAATAAGTTGAAAGGGAAGCAATGACTTTGCTTCATTTCTTAATGTTACCTATCAGGACAAATGTGACATTCTGTTACACGTGGTGCCAGTAGAACTGGCCCTATCTGAGTGATTATTTTTAATTTTTTTCCCCCAAAGATGGCCAAAACGCATTCACAGTATTTGAATGATACTTACTCTGAAAGAGACTGTGGAGTCGATGGAAAGGAGTGTCACGTAACACTTAGAACAGGGAGCTAGGATTGACTGTACCTCAGTTTTTATTCTCAGATTTTCCATTTACTTGTTCTGTAATTGTGACAAGATTACTTAAGGGCTTTGCCTCTATTTGTCAGGGTATATATTTTTAAAAGAGTGATATTACCCAACAGCATTTATCAAAGTCACTGCAAACTCAGTTGCACTGTATTATAGACTCAGAAAGAGGCTTAGTTCTAAACCCTGCATGTTCCCTTTGCAATAAAGCCTGAGCATCATTTTGTTAATACCTGAAATCGTGTTTTGTATTTTTCCCTTTAAATTGTTCTTTGTGTTTTTCCCGAAATCCCCATCTCTTCCTTCAGTTCAAACTGTTTTGTAGTGAAGTTACACTAGGACTAATGGGGGAGATAAAGCGTGCCCTGCAATGTCTCTTCTTTGCTCACTCAGTGCTATTCTTGAGCTGTAACAAAGTCTCCACTCCTGTGGTGCAGTATAATCCCACCTGTTGATCCTTTCCCCCCAAAGGCCAAGTACCTGATGAGCTGTTACTGGGGGAACAACCGCGCCGCCGCCGCCGCCCGCCGGGATCAGAGCCTGCCGTACCTGGAGCAGTATCGCATAGACACGGAGCAGTTCAGAGACCTGTTCATCAGCCTCACCCCCTGGGCCTGTGGGGCACACACACCTGTCCTGGCAGGGCGGATGTTCCGGCTTCTGGATGAGAACAGGGATTCTCTCATCAACTTCAAGGAGTTCGTGACAGGAATGAGTAAGTGGTGTTTTTGGAGAAGATGGGATATTGCAAAAAAACGTTTCTGTCCTTCTCCAAGAAGAGAACTAAAAGGAGAGAATGGTGTGTACGCTGTCACGAGGGGAGGGTGACAGGAAGCCTCAAGCTAAACAAAATACACCTTTTTGGAGTGGATTTGCTTCTGCACGGGACTTTGAGCAGTCAGCATTTCCTTGTTGCATGGGAACTTATTCTGGTTTGAACCTGTGAGTAGAGGGTGATTCTTTATCCTAAGTGCTATTTTTCTTGACCTTTTTTTTTTTCTTTGCAGGTGGGATGTACCATGGTGACCTCACTGAAAAACTCAAAGTACTCTACAAACTGCACCTGCCTCCTGGTGAGTGATTAGTTCTTTATATTGCTGTATATTGCTGCTACTGAACACAGTCTGTTCTGACATGCAGTTGAAATGGGATGCCTCATGAGTTTTGCTAATGAAGTGGGTGATACTGCTGTTCAGTTAGCTTAGAGACCTTAACATTTGCTTCTCTGTGAATACAGCTCTGAATCCAGAGGAAACAGAATCTGCTTTGGAGGCCACAAGTTATTTCACAGAGGATGTGACAACAGAAGGTAATGCAACACTGCTGCCTTTACCTCTCAGTTTAGGCAGGAGTTGCAGCAGAGATCCATGTGCCGTGGACAGTGATTTTGTGCAAGGCATGGTCTCGTGCTGGCAGTGTCTTAAGATTGCCAGTGTGTTTGAGCTTGCTGTCTTCTTTGCATGATGGGGAAGAAGTTTGGAGCTAAAACTCCTCGGTGCCCATTTCATGCAGGATACAGCATGCTCTGAAGCACAGTCATAAACTGCTGAGGAGGAGCAGTGTGCTTTCACCAGCCCCTGTCTCCCACCATGATTTAGGTTTTTCATGCAAGTCTCATTGTCTCTCTTGTTTTTGTTTCCTTCTCTGTGTCTGTCTATGTCTGGCCTTTTCTTCTGTTTTATCTGGGATATTGTCCCCTCAACCCCTTTTTCTGCTGCTCAAGTATCTCCTTTTGTCTCAGAGCTGGATATCTGCCTGCACTGTGAGTCTCAAGGTCAGTCCATGGGTTATGTGCATGCATTGAGCATGACTATGGTGCTGATACCACCTACCAGCACCATTATGCTGATGTAAATACTCTGAAGTTGTTGCTGCTACTCCTCTCTTGTGACACTCTCACAATTAATAAAGTGCTATAAGTAATTAAATATCTTTCAGAATATTCCACCTATTGAGTTTCAACCCTGGTCAAAATAGGTTTTTCTGGTTTCTTTTAGTGGAATTTATCTCACCCTAGAAACTTGTGGTTGAAAATATGCTCAGAATAAACTGGGATGAGGTGCTAGGCTTGCTGGTCTGTGTATCCCTGGGCCTACTCCACAGTCTTCTAATTTAAAGGAATAAAGATGCGTACCATTGAATTGAAAAACTGTTAGTAGACTGGTTTACTGCATTTCTTAAAATACAATTTTAGGGATTGTCAAGTAGGAGGTCAAAGTATGTCAGTCATGCTAAATGTTTACCAAAATACAATGATGCTTAAAAAATACGTAAGTACAAGAGGTATTTGTGCAGTTTGGTGCTAGGTGGCTAAATTAACAGTCAGAGTTGGAACCAAGATTTCCTATTTACTCTAGTGACAGTGTAGGGAACCAGAAGAGAAGTTTGTGAAGTTAGACTGCAAATTGCTCCTCAAGTGTCAGTTCAGTCAGTGAATAGTGGTGAGTGTAGGTATTAGTCACATACATGCTCAGTAGTGGTTTGGGGTTTTTCCATTTATTATCTTGCTTTGGATGACTGAACTTCCTTGTCTTTAGGCCATCACATTGCTTAGCTGCCTTTCATATCTGTGCTTAACCCTTTCTTTTAAGAGCTCTGCCCTCTACCTCAGCTTTTCAACCCACTTTTTGAGTGTGGCTCTTTATCCAGCTCATCCCATCAGCCTCTTGCTTCCATCCTGTTCTGTTCACTCCTCTAAACATGATGTGGGAGTGTGAGATCTAACTTCTATTAAATATATTCTTGTATAATTTTATATTGAGTTGTCAAGTTCTTTGTGTGTTGTATTGCTGAAAATCAGTTGTTTTATAATTCCATAATTTTTTAGAAACCCAAGAAGATAAAGGAAGGAGAAATGAGAATGGTCCAGAAAAAGGTAATTTCATTATCCATTAAATTACACTCTAGTCTTGTCTCTCTCATGTTATGAACTGTTCATTGTCCCATGCTGATCAAGGAGACCTTTCAGTGTCCCCTGTGGACAGAGGTGAAGTGGGAGGTGAGCTGGGAAATAATTCTCTTATGCCTTACTGCTCCAACTCTTGTACATACCAAGATCACAGTGTTTGTAAATCATGTTGGGTAAGTTGTCAACTCATAGAGTTCATTTATGAGAAGTCGAGCTGATGCAGCACTGTTAAAATTTTTGCTCTGCTGAGCTGGATCAGATAAACCAGCAGAAAACAACACAGCATTCCTGGTATATGCTTTCCTGGACTGTCAATAAAACCTGCCTCCAGCCTGATTTTTGCTAGCACAGCATTCACTTTTTAAGTCTGAAACCATTAACCACCTCACTAGTGGCTTGTTCTTGCCTTGCAGAGGAGAAAGGTACCAGTCCACAGGACTACAGATACTACCTAAGAATGTGGGCCAAGGAAAAAGAGTCCAAGAAAGAAACCATTAAAGACCTCCCCAAAATGAGCCAGGTAAGAAGTGCACGTGAAGGTTTCCAGTTTAGTGGGGAATTCAGCAGGATGTGCAGCCATTGTGCCAGCATGCTCAGTCCTTACCTGTAGCTTGCCCTGCTGGTCTGGTCTGGTGAACTTTAGAACCTCTAATTCCACACGTTTCTGTTAAATTCCACAGTGGATATGGGCAAACTGCTTTGTTTTAACCAATCAAATGTATTGGATTCCTCCCAGACCAATTTTTCCTGTAGGAACTGCAATCTGTGTTTTCCCTGCAGAGCAGGGTGTCTCAAATAATACCATTGGTCATAGAAACTTGTTTGACTCTTTTGGTTTTGCGTTGCCTCAAGTTACAGCTGCTTGGTGGAGAGTGAAGAATGTGGTTACAGAAAAGAGAGACAGATGACTGGTGTGATCTTTTCTGTCTCTAATTTCCTTGATGGGTGCTACTTAAGCCAGTTTGTAAATGCTTAAGCAGCTGACCACAGAAGAGTAGTAGAATAGAAGTAAAACTTCACATTTTCTCAGCTGTGAATATGTGACTACTTTGTTCATTTGCCAGCAAAAAACCCACCCCTGTTAAATTGCCAGCTGTGTCTCAATGTAGCCACTACAGGAGAGAGAGGGGAGTTTGCCTGTGTCAGACTGTTCTGAGTCAGTACAGTCAGTTGCCACTTACTTGGTGGGAAGGCAAATAAACAATGAGTCATTCGAGATGGTGCCAGTTGCTTCATCAGCCACTGAAAACTTTTTTTAGCCTGAAGTATGATTTTTTGGTCTTTGTCTTTTAAAGGAACAGTTCATAGAGTTATGCAAGACCCTTTACAACATGTTCAGCGAGGACCCCGTGGAGCAGGAGCTGTACCATGCCATCGCCACTGTGGCCAGTCTCCTCCTGCGAATTGGGGAGGTTGGCAAAAAGTTCTCCAACAGACCCACAAGGAAGTCTGAGGATTGCAAAGCAAACAATACCCAGGATCCTGTGAGTGAAGAGGAGTCACCAACATCTGAACAGAGTCAGAATTCGGCAGTGGAGCAGCAACCCCAAGCTGACCACGAGGAGAAAGCCAGCATTGATGCTCAGCCTGAAAAAACACAGCAGGAAAACCAAACTCTAGGAGATGTGTCGGGGGAAGGACAAGGCTCTCCTTTACAGCTGCTATCAGATGATGAAACCAAAGATGATATGTCCATGTCCTCCTACTCCATGGTCAGCACAGGCTCCTTGCAGTGCGAAGACATTGCGGACGACACGGTCCTGGTGGGCTGTGAGGGCAGCAGTGCAGCTGCCAGGTATGGCAGCACCATTGACACTGACTGGTCCATCTCCTTCGAGCAGATCTTGGCCTCCATGCTGACAGAAACAGCCCTTGTAAACTACTTTGAGAAGAAGGTCAACATTCTCCAGAAGATCAAGGATCAGAAGAAGGTAGAGAGGCAGTTCAGTTCATCCAGTGACTATGAACTTTCCTCTGTGTCAGGGTGAACTCAAGAAAGCAGGAGTTGTCTTTTGGACAAAAAACACAGACATTGCTCAGACAGGATCTTTCTGGCATTTTCATTTTGTTTAATCAGAGACCAGTAACTACACAATTACAATAGATTCCAATTCATAAGGGGCTTCTGACAGTGACTGTTTTGTGTAGGTGCTTCTTTGGCTACTCTGGCTGACAGAATTAGATTTACATTCTCGAGAGCCATTAGCCCCTGACATATAGAACTACCACCATAAATTATGCATGTCTGCCTTTTGCTGTCTTTTATTTTAATGAAGTTTTATTTCAGACAGTAACTGCTCCTTGCCTGCCCTTGTTTGCTGTAGGTTCTTGGGTAACTTGCACAGCAGATGCAGCCTGGCTTGAAACCATGCTCACCTCTGGCTGCCAGTCCGAGAGCTAATGCAGTGTAGTCGAGTGCTATAGGACCCTGACCTATAAATAATCTTGTAAGTTCTTCTTGTGAGCTGTTCTGTGACTCAGCAGCTATAAAGCAAATGTATCCCACTGCTCCCAGCACCCTCAGATCTAAACACAGACATTGCTCAGACCTTCAGGTTTCTTTCAGATGTGGTTTGGCATTTTCATAGTGTACGACCACTTACTTTCTCCTTCAGCATTCAGGAGTTTTCAGACAAACCTAGTTTTCTAGCATTTGCTTTTCTAATCATCTGAAAGCCATTGGTTTTAGTTTGTCTGGGAAGCCACAAGCTCCTTGACTTCAGTGCAGAAGTAATACTGAGTCAATCAGTGGACCCGTGATGGTTATGATGAGGGAATAAGTTCCCAAATTAGAAGTCAGTGAATCAGCCTCAGTGTTCCAGGGCAGTGGCACACTGGTCTGCTGGGCTTTCCCTATCGGTACATTCACTGTTTATTGCTGATTCTCCACTTTTACTAGCTAGTGATGGGTCCAGGTTTTAGATAGACCCCTAAGAATACTCTGATCAGTCAGCCCTCACAAATGCTTGGGGCAGGAAGGTGTGCAGGAGTGTTGTGCCATGCACTGCTGCTCAGTGTGTCCTTTCTGAAGTCTAGCAGTGGACATGCTCTTAGAAACTCCTGCACATCCAAGGGCATTTATACCTATAGAGAAAGAATTCAGAGCAGCGTGGCCCTCTGCCATCAGCCCGCTATGGGAAACCTCCACACTAGATCTCGTTCCAGTTAGAGTCAAAATAACTGGGAGACTGAGGGAGTGCTCTTTTAAATCAGTTAAAACCAGAGGAAACTAGAAGTTGCCCTTCTGGTAGCAGGGTGTGTGCTCCAAGGAAGCAGAATGAATGCTGTTACTACAGATGAACTCATCTCAGCACGCAGGCAGTGACCCTGCAGGGCCAGGGGGAGAGGCGCTGCTGCTCGGCCAGAGCAGACCCCGCACTGAAGGCAAGGTTGATCCAGCTTTTGGCTGGCATTTGGAATAAAAGGGTAGGAAGGACACATACAGTATAAGGGTAGGAAGGACACGTACGTGGATGTTCCCATTTAACACTACTCGGTGTGCTACTCAGTGTTAATTCATCCTCGTGACATTCTCAGCTGGTACATATTTCTTATTTCTCTGCCTCCTCTGTCCTGTATCACTGGAGAGCAGCCATTAGTAAAACTGCTTTTACTAATTATTCAGTAATTTATTGTAATTTTTTTTAAGTACAAATAATACATGTGATTTTACACTGTCTGTCTTATCTGTCATGTATTCAATAAATGAACCAGAATCCTACAGGCTATTTGGCTGCCTTTTATTTCTCTAAGCTCATGGAATATTGCTGGTTCTTTGTCCAGGGTGGTTATTGAAAAGGGCAGACTTGGTGGGACTGCAGTGTGACCTACCTTCCTTTCTTTCCTTTCTCTCTTTCTTTCTTTCCTCCTTCTGTCTTTTCCTTCTTTTTTCCTTCCTTTCCTCTTCCTTTCTTTTCCTTCTTTCCTTCCTTCTTTCCTTTTTTCTTATTTTCTTTCTTTCTTCTTATTCATTTTTGGTTTCACGGGTTCTTTTCCTCTCTCCTTATTCTTTTCTTTATTCCTTTTTTTTTCTTTTCTTTCCTCACTTCCCCCTTTCTTCCCTCCCTTTCTTTTTCCCCCCTCTTTCTTTTCTCCCTTTCTTTCCTCCCCTTTCTTTCCCCCCCTTTTCTTTTCCTTCTTTTTAATCATTATTCTGAACACTTTTTATATAACACACGCTGACACAGTTTCAGGTAGGTGCAGCCCTGGTGACTGTGGAGCTTCAAACACGACGCGTTCTCCCTCCTGGGAGAACTTTACTTGTATAAACTCACAGCCAGCCTGCCCTCTGACCTATACCAAGCCCTGCGCGGCGCTGCGGGGAGTCTTCCTGCGTGGGGCGGCTCCGGGCGGTGAGTGGATGTGTTTGTTCGGGATTGTCCCTCCCCGTGTCCCCCCGCGGTGCCGCCGCCGGGGGGCGCTGTGGGCCCGCGCGGTCACGTGCCCGCGATGGCGCAGCGGTTCCGGGTCCTGCGGTGCTGCCGCTGCCGCCGCTTCCAAGTGCACCCGGTGGGACGGGGTGGGACGGGGTGGGACGGGGGCTGCGCGTCCTGACCCCTCACTGACCCCTCACTGACCCCTCACTGACCCCTCTGCGCCCTCGCAGGCCAAGCGCGGCGGGAAGTGGAGCTGCAGCGTGTGCGGGCAGTCGCAGGCCGTGCAGAAGGTGAGGGCGGCCCCTCAGCCCTCGCTGGCACCTCAGGGCTGCCCCGGGGCTTCCCTCGCCTCACCTGCTCCCTCCGCCCCGTGTCCGCTCATTCCCTGCAGGTTTACGGGCAGGGCTCCGGCCCGGACTGCAGGCACCACGTCCAGAAGTTAAACTTGCTGCAGGGAGAGGCAGAGGAAGCGCTTGGCTGGACATCTTGGTACAGTGTTTGATCTTTATCTGTGTATTTCTTTTAATGTGCTGCAGCTGATGCACATACTCACACACGGGCTGCCTGTTACCCAGTCTGAGCTCACGGGAGGGTTTTCTGGCCTGTTGTGAACCCTAACTCTAACCCAGGTTTGTCCTCACCTCAAAGGAACAAGCTCTTTATTACGTTAAGTGTCCCAGCATGTTTCTTTTTACAAGGACTTTTTTTCAGATAAGTTTGGTTGATCAATAGCATGTGTTGGTCAGCCTTTACCCATCAATATATATGCAATAGGGTTTGGATTTGTTGTATTGTTTTTTAGTTTTGTTTGGGTTTTGGGTTTTTTTTTTTTTTATTTGCTCTTTCCTATGTACTGTTTGATGACCTGACTGTGGAGATGTCCATTTTACAGATTACAGTCCTCATCAGATTACATCCTCAGAAAGAAAACATCCTCCACTGTTGGCATTTAGGGGGTTCACACTGTGAATCTGTTGAGTAATCACTGCTGCTATTGATAAAAGACTAGTGCAAAGATTTCTCTGTAATTCCTGCTGGGCTGGAAAATCTGAATAGCACCTTCCTGTTTAGTTCATTCTTTAATCTCTTTATAAATCGTTTAATCTTGAACTGGTCTTGAACTGGTCCAGCTTCCTTTTTACTTGAGGTTATTTTCAGAAATCAATCAAAGGTGGTTACATAACTTAGTTGTGTGTACACAGTGCTTCACGGTTAAGCTCGGGGAAGAAAACTCATTGTTTGTTCACTTTATCAAAGAGGGTTGCTATTTTTATTCTCAAAAAATCGTGAAGTTCAAAACATTGCGAAATAATTTCCCTTTTTGTTGCTTGGTTTCTTGGGATATAATTAGTGAGTTCAAACTGTTGTCCCAAAGAAATGCTCTTATATCCCTAGTTATGCTCAATTAGAATTTGTCATTTCATGATTAGTGGCTTTAGATCAAAGTATTTGTGTAGAAAGAGTTACTTGCTAACCAGATTTTTTCAAGTATTTGTCAGTATATGTTGTAAGTTCTTCATTTGGCATCAGCTTTTATGTAGATCCTGGGTTTTCAGATGTGCCTCCTATACTGTGTCCCTATCCATGCTTTCTGTCCAGTCACTTGTGATATAACTGGGTGATTTGAAACCTGTGAATCAACAGACGAGAGTGTGTTCTAGAAACTGTAGTTTAAACCTCTGTTTTAGGTGCGTAGAAGACTCTGTAAATGACAGCAAAAACAGAGCAGCACAACGTGAGGACAGTTCAGTCCAGCAGGTAAAATCCCTACAAAGCTGAGGTAAATACCAACCCATTCTGTCTGAGGTGAATCCAGTGAACCCTCTATATGGTTCAGACAGCTGAAATGGTGATAGAATCAGAGAGGCTCCTGCAGAGGGAGAATGAGATGTACACAGAAACTCTGCTCCACTGGGAATTGTGCCTGGGAACATGATACAGGGACATGGCCTGAACTGACTCACTTGAGGCATTCAGTGCATGTGTAACAATGCCAAAAATGAGAACCCCGTGTTTTGGTGTTTTCAGTAACTCTCCAATGTTGTAGGAGGGAAGTCAGACGTTAGAAGGGAGTCGCTGGAGTAAATACCTGGACCAGGAGAGTGAGGATCAGGAAGACGGGGAGGAGGAGGCAGCTCTAGCAAGGCAACAGTTCTGTTCCCAGAGGAAGAACACTGTGGGAGAACAAAGGTACAGAGAGAACTTTGTTTTGCAATTCCTGCCCCTGCGTGGCGACACTTGTTTTGGAGGTGTGGGAGGCAGCTCATCTCTGAGAGCTGAACAAAATAGAGGTTGCAGTGTATGACCTGAGCTGAGCAGAGGTTTGGTGTTTGGGGATAAAACTTCTCTTATTGCTAAAGCCCTGCATTTTATGAACTTCTCTGGTGATCTGGTGAAAGTCAAGCGAATCTGTCCTCTTTGTGAATGGTTTTCTTGGCCAGGAAACATCGGAAGAGCTTCCTCTCCGGTGATGTTCCAGAGCATGCAGAAGAAAATGGAGTTTTCCAGCCTGTCTATCAAGCCAAAAAGGTTAAAACCACTGAGGTATTTTAGCTGTAGATGCTTCTGACCAGTAAAACAAAACAGTGTTCTCCTGACCTCTTTTGTGTCATCATAATTTTGAATTTTTATGAGTCTTTCTCTGCTCTTCTATTTGAATGACTGGGGAGAAGAAAATTGTGTTGGGGGTTTCTCTCTGAAAGGTTTCAGTCAGGCAAAGCCAATGCCACCTTTAATGCTCCTGTGCAGCCTAGCCCTGTGTGCTGGATTTATAACAGAGCCCTCTTCCTTCTTACAGCACAAGAAATGCTTTGCAGCAGTGCCTGATGGGGATGGCAGAGATGGTGTTTCTGGAGGCAGCGTGGTTCCTGCTGTCTGTGAGGCTGCAGTGCCTGAGGACAACACACAACCCCCAACCACCTGTGCCAGACCATCGAAGTGGGGGAAATTTCTCTCATCTTCTGACAACTCCAGTGAAAACACTGCTGGGGTGACCTTGTCACTGTGGGGGAGCAGTGGAGGTTTGGGGCTGGACAGCACCACTGCAGCAGGTGCTGGTGGGGCCAGGAGATGCTCAGAACAGGCTGGAGGAACTCAGCCTCAAGGTACAGGTTTTAAATTTAAAAAGTGTGGTGCCAGCACTGAGGGTCTGGCTATGAAATTGCCCAGCACCAGATGCTCAGCTGAGGATGTGTCCAAAGAACCTCAGAGTCAGACAGAAACTACTGCAGGAAGGTGCTGTTTGGATAACACCAACAGGGCAAATACCCTTGTTAACTCTAACCCCGGGCCAAAGCTGAGCAACATTTCTTGTGAAAAACTCTTTTGCACAGGTGAGGAGTTTGATGATGATCTCTGAGAAGTTCAGACATCTTTGGCATTGCTTTCTTGTCTCTATAATGTATGTCAAGCTCTGAGGCACAATTTTAAACTGAAGGTGGCTTCACTCTAAGCCACTATTAGAACTACACTATTAAAGTTGTTTACTTGCTTTATGGTTGTGTTTGGGGGGGGAGGGACCATTGCTCTCAGGTTACAGTGTTGTCTAGCAACCTCAGCAGCTAGAAACAGGAATGGAAGTAGGTCAGTTTGTGGGGAGAAAGTTCCCAGGCTTTAAGAACTCCTTGGCAGTACAATTAAATACTGTGATTAACTCCTCCTTACAAAATCACAGCTCTTTTCCCCTGTACCACATCTTTGTTTAGATCTCCCATAGCAACCCTTTCTTCCAGAGCTGCAGAGCCAGCAAAGCACTGGATTTCCTTTCCTTAGTGTAGCTCTAAGTGTGCAAAGTATGTGCAAAAAGGCAGCCCTAGGCTGATTTCAGCCTAGTCCCTACACTCTGTTAACTAAGTTACAGTACATAAAGCAATAAAGCTGTGATACTGAAACTCTCAGACACAGCACATGCAGTAGTATTTATTTATCCTTCATTCTACAAGCACGTAAGAACATGAGACAGAAATCCTTAGCAGGAAGAAAAGATGTACTGCAATGACTTTTGCTATATTGTCTTCTTTCAGTTAGAAAAGTGCTTTTTGTTACTACTACAAGTGAGGTGGCTGCTTGGAGTACTGGATGGCATCTAGTGCTGCCCCAATGTCGCAGTTCTTTGTCTGCAGGAGTCGAGTGAGCCATCCACCCTCATCAGAGAAGCCCATGGAGAGCATCTGGGACAAGGACTCAATGAGGCGAGGGTCTGCTTCTGTGAAGAGAAAAATGGTTTAGAGTTCAACTATTTCATGTAATTGGTAAAGCAGCCAAGGCTCTAATACCACACAGGAAGTGGGTGGCACAAATCCCCAGTGAAATGCTCTCCTTTGTCCCTCAGGAGTACCAACATTTGAGATAAATGATGACCAGAGCTAAGAAAACAATTGAGTCAGGCTCAGCTGGCCTTGCTGTAGGACTGTGTGCTCCTGATCTCAGTTAAGGGGCCTTGGATAGTATTACTGGCTCTCATCAGAAAAACGTGCCCTAAAGCCACGGGGAGTACTGCCTGTCCACATGCCGCATTAAAAGGCTCTCTTGAGCAGTACATAGCAAGGACACGATTCAGGACAGCACCTTTGTCGTGTTGCTCAAATGGCACATTAGCCTAAGGTCAGAAGTCTTGTTAAGACTTAGCTGCCCACATTCAAGAGGAGAACCACCTGACTGTCTCTAACAGTGTGCAAGAGCTGCCAAACCTGCCAACAGTGAGGGACAGGTTTAGCTGTAACTAACACGACCTTGCTTCCTACCACCTCTAAAACAGATCTGCGTTTTCAAGTGAAAGTTACTCTCAGCTATGAAACCTGCACCTTTCTCCTACCTGGTGGGAGGTGGGGGTAGAGAGCAGCTTCTCGCAGTCCTGTCGGTCCTGGCTGGGGAGGCTCCCGAGATACATCCAGGGAGCTGGGACCATCTGTGTCTGGCATTTGCAGGGACTGCAGCTCACCCGTGGAAGGATCCACTTCTTTGGATGATAAGTGGGTCCAGTCTTCCTCACCCCCTGATGAACTGCTGGACTCACTGTGTTCCTGGAAAAAAAAAAAAGACAGGTCCAGGTGCTGCAGTGCTTTCCAGGCAGGATACATGCTCCTACTATCTGCCTTTAATATAAAGAACTACATGCACGAGACATCCCCCCACCTTTGCTATAAACCTGTAAAGGTGTTGTATATCACTTAATCTTCTGTCATCTTAATATTCAATCCCACAGTGCATGCCAAGTGACTATCTTCCTTTTTAGCAAAGCCTCAGCCAAGCACTATTAAATTAGTGTCATAGTTCTTGTACCTGGGAGTGGAAGGGGCCATCTTCCATTTGTGTGGGTGCAGGATCTATCACCATTTCCTGTATCTGTTCTGCAACAACATTTACTTCTGTAGCAGGGTCTGTGTTATTCCAGTCTGGCTTGGTCTGACCATTCTGGGCTGGAGCACTGCTGTTTGCCTCACCGCTGTTCTCTTGATTGGGAGCAGTGGGAGTCACTTTGCTTCTCTTTCCTCCGTGTTCCACATCAATATCAACTTCAATACCTAGAAATGCATTTGAGAGGCAAAGTCGTAGAGCTTTTTCCAAAGCACAGTCCTAAATGAGCATGGGTCAGTCCTGCTCTACACTCTAAAGCTTCTGCAATGCTACAGTTTGCCATATAACATGTAGTAATTAAAATGCAAAGCCTTCTTTAAATAAAGAATAGTTTTCTCTAAATAAAGAGTAGTTAAGCACCAAATAGCCATCTTGCTCTACACAGACAAGCCATATATTTAAAAGGGCCAGGGCAGAATTGTATCTATGTCCACATAAGCCAGGCAAAATCCAGAGTGACCACTGACTTAGTGTTCCAGTGCTCACATGTTAATGAAGTCTTGCCTCATTTTCTACCAAGGGAGGGCTCTGAAAAGGTAGTGGCTGTTCTAAGCTTAGGCATTATTAGTACCAGGTGTAAACTAAGCCTTTGAGGCTTAGTAGGCATGAGGTAGTTCTAATACTAGTCAGAACAGCTGACTGCTGCTCCTGTTAAACAGACATTTAAGCCAGTCCCAGGGATTGACCTGGTAACAAACTGTAAGGCACTTACCCAAGGGGCTCAGAAAAGCTGCAACACTCTCCCCAACATTCTTTAGGAAGGTGACGTTGGGGTCCTGAGGCTGGTTGTTAGTAGAAGCTTCTAGAAAAACAATTTCTGTTAGCACACACAGAAGCTCAGAGGGAAAGAGCACCTACAGTGTGTGTGTCCCCATGACAGCTTTGTGCTCCTTCCTGTCACTCACGTACACTGCACAACAAAGGCAGTACAGAGACAAAAACTAACTCTGAGCTACCTCTGGAACAGAAAGCCAACATTAGCATTGTTAAGGCTCGTTAGCCATGCTGGAAGGCAGTGACATGCTTGACCTAACAGCTTGGCTTAGTTCGGTTCAGTTCCAGATACTCTTATCTTCATCCTCATCGATTGCATGGGCCCAAGCATGCCTTAAAGTAATCCCACTCTGTGCTGAAAGGTGCTAATTATTTCAAGCAAATTACGTTAGTTCCCATGTCTATCTTCCCACCAGAGCTGCAGAACCTCAGCTAGCCTGGCTCCACCACCACGTTGCTTACCAGGGCATCTCCTCTTACCTTCTGCAGCAGGTGCACTGGGGGCTGCAGTGGTGGCTTCAGCCTGCCCGGAGTTCTGGCATGGAGGCGCAGGCCCAGGATACCCCCAGCAGTGCATCCATGGGAAGGGTGGAACACCGTGCCGCATTTTACGGAGCCAGCGTCCTCGGGGAAACCACTGCGAAGGGCAACATTCGTGTCACACTGTCCACACCACCAGATCCCGAGTAACTGAAACTCGTGGCTTAAATCTGAGGAATACCCCATTCATTAGTTCCCTGCCGTAGATTTTGCTCACCTCAAACGGATTTAGCAGCGGACTTTGGAACATCACCATGTTGTGATCCTTGTGGATGCCTTTCCCCTCACAGGTGCTGCACAGGTCGTAGTCTGGGCAGACACTGCACTTGAACCTGGTGCCCACCACGGGTCCCTCGCAGCCGTCACAGATGACATTGGGGTGCACCATGTTGCGGGGGGGCTCCTGGCTGCACTGCGAGCGATGCTCCCGCTTGCAATCCTTTTTCTCTGTTAGGGAAAGGGAACTTTCCATCAAGAATAGGTTGCTATTTACAGGCTGGAAATCAGGCAGAGGAGGAAGCACAAACAGCCCCTGTCAGAGCAGTATTAGCTTACTAGGTCAGTTTATTTTTACACTGGCTGCCAAACACAAGCTGAGGGCACAAGAGAGACCTTAAACCAAGTGTAAAGGGGTTTCAAAAAGATACCTGGCCCCGAAACCAATCATTGCTTATCCTAAATATCTCTTGGCATGTTTATTTTAGATTAGTACTGCACAACCTTATCTGGCTTCTCATCCTACCTTCCCAAGCACTGCAGGAACAGAATGTGTCTGGAGAGGGAGTTAGGAAGGCGTATGCCAGGAGGCACAACATGAGAATGGGGACAACAGCCCCAGGCTGGTGTGACTCATTAGACAGGCTGCAGATAAAGCTTTGCAGGTATCCACCTGAACAAAACGGACTAGGGAGCTATTATGCGCTGAAAAAGCTGGAATTAAGACTTCCTAACACACTGTTGTGACTATTTAAGATACCAATGCCAGCTCAGTGTGCCCAGGGAGCCGGGATGACAACAGCAGCTCGCATTGGACCGGCTGACAGGGCTGGGAGGAAACTTGTGATCTGTTTACCCCCACCCCCAGCAGGGAGGATTCGTGTTCTGTCGTACTGCTCTGCCCTTTATTTACCCTCCCTCGGCAAGGCCGCAGCTCCCACCAGGCCCTCGAGGACAAGGGGAAGGGCCATGGCTGGCTGCTCCCACTTCGGGAGCCCTGCCAGCCCAGCGCACAGCCGGAGCCCCGCGGTGCCCTACCTTTGATGTACACACGGAACACGCCATCCCGCACGTAGGGCATCGCCAGCTCCAGCTCCTCGTCGGAGGAGAAGGCGATCAGGTCCCCTTCTTCATCTGGGAAGGGCGAAGCACAGGGTGAGGTGCGGAGTCGGGGGTCACGGCGCGGGGGCAGCGAGGCAGCAGCGCCCCGACACCCCCACCCCCGGGACACCCTCCCGGGGCCCGTCCCGCAGCGCAGCCCCCCTCCCGCTCACCCTTGTAGTGCATGCGGAAGGCGGAAGGCGGCCCGGCCCGCAGCAGCCCCTGGAAGAGCTCGGCGACGCGGTCGTAGATGGCGCGGTAGCGAGCGGGCGGCGGCAGGGAGAAGCGGCGGATCTCGCGGGTCGCCTCCTCCTTGCCCAAAAGATAGGCTTTCACCGTCAGCGCCGCCATGGCTGTGGCGCAGCAGGAATTGCCGTCGGGAGCCGAGACAGACGTTCAAGGCGGAGCGGCAAGGGCGGGCTGCGGGAGCGGCCGCGGGCGCCGCCATTTTATACTGCCGGCGCCTGCAGGTCACGCCCCCCTGAGGCCACGCCCCCACTAGAGCGTA